GGAAAATAAGGAAAGATTACCCATCTGTTCAAATGACTTCATGGAGGGTACTATCATCTGTTTTCTGATACATTTGGAACTTTCTTGTCTGTCTGCAAGCTCTCATTGGTGTTTGATGTGCAGTTTTGGCCCATAGTTGGTTGGATAAACTACCAATATATGCCTCTGCAGCTGCGTGTTCTCTTCCACAGCTTTATTGCCTCATGCTGGTACGTGCTTCTCACTCATTTGATTTCTGGTTATTATAGGATGATAACATTTTTGTTATTTGATAATGTACTTTCTCTTTCATGAGACCATTTAGTCCTTTTATTTGCCCAGTTGGCTATAAATTAGCATTTCACTTAAAATTTGTGCATGATTATTTCATTTGATTCACTCTCTCATGCGCATGTAGGAATGTAAAGGGAGGATGTATTGATAAATGAACTTGTATGCAATAGTTTTGTTGGATCGACTAAAGACTTTGTTGCACATGAAAATGTTGGTTTAGTGCTTATTGTCCAAAACTGTATTTCTGCTGATATACTCTTTGGTGTAGTTATAATTGCTCGGTTTATATATTCATAAACCTGAAAATAAAGACAATCAATAATTTAAATGATCTAAATGATACCTACTTTTTCATGAAGCCTCAATGAGTAATCTAAATGACCTAAATCATACTTACTTTGAGATTACTTGATTAGTAATTTAAATTACCTAAATTATCACTCTGATATAAGGAATACAAAAATAACTAAGTAATAAATATCTTAATTGTTATTGAAACGGGAGGTAGGGAAAAGAAGTGTTAAGTAGGAGAGAAATCTCCTAGCTGTTTATGAGTATCATCCACCACCTCAATCCCCTCGTCTGGCAACGGGGGCTCAAGGGATATAAGACTAAACCATGTGTTCCAACTCATCATGGAACATAAACAACCTGTCATTAGATTATATTGGTGACAGATGACAATCTGTCACCAATTAGGGTTTTGATAAGATGAATCAGATTGAACCATCGTCAACACAAAATCACTAACTACCCAATTGATGAAGTTGAATTGCAACTTAAAATCTTAGAAACCTTTTCAAATAAATTGATAGGTTCTTATGGCCACAGATATAGGAACAATAGATGATCTCCAGTTTCGATGCCTTTAATGTGGTTAGAGGGTGAAGGCCAATCTTATCATGCCAAAGAGAAGTCGAATTTTCAATATTTTTTTTATAGATACTTTAAGCCAGTTGATAAGATCATGATGAAGAAATATCAAGAGAAACTCACAACCCACAGGTCAAACATGTTGCAAAATGGTTTGCAAGTTGGCATCTGTGACAGGCATTTTCTAGGTCACACCAATGAATCATCCTGTAAAGCACAATATCAAAGATCTTTCTAAAAGGATCCAATTTCATACATATACATGTATCTCGTGCATGTACTCAGTGTTAGTTTAATTCTAATCATTTATGATTAGGTATTGTATGCTAATGGCTACTTTGCATCTATTCTAAATATGCAGGGCTGTGTTTCTGAATCTAAAAGCACAATCCGGTGCTGCTAAGGAGGCTTAATATGAAGATTAGTATTTTGCTTTATACTGCAAAGGAGCTGTTAGGGTTCCTTGTTGCACCGTGTTGTAGTGTTATGTCAGCCATGACAAATAATGTGTTCGTTTGATATCCCAGTCTTGCATTTGTAACCAGTGTCGCCTCGTGCTATGCGAAGCTTAAATAGATTACACTGAGGTCCTTTTTCTTTAAACAAATGAAAAACAATAAAGAGGATGATCCAAGTTTACAGCAAGATATTCTACTTCAGTGTGTAGATGAGGTGTTTTAGAGTTTGAGATATGTATACGCTACTCCTTGTAATCTAAGCATTGAGAAGTTCAAAAACAAAAAAAGAACAAGGGGTTGTTCTTTTGGATGAATATCTGTTCTTTTAATCATTTAGTTATTTTTCCAGGAGGCATAAGAAGCTGCATTGATGTGCGGAGACGAACATTATGTATGCAACATGCATCATTCTGTAATATGGATGGGACTCTTAGCTGCTGCTGATTTTGAGTGTTGTTAGAGAGTTTATTGATAGTTTATACTGAGTGACACTGTTGGTGAATGGATTTTTCTTTTTTTGTTGAAGAAAATGCACGAATGAGGTGATAAATAGTTGTTGATATTTATTATCATTATTTAACATTATTAGGATTATATATATTCTATAATAGTTCAGGAGATATCATCATCATAATTGGTTGCATTAATCTAAAATATATAATGTTCCAAGCTTTTGAATACTGCTAAGTAGGATATGTGAGGGGCTATATGGAGGGGAAAAAAAAAAGATAAAGAAAATAGTAAAAATAAAATTAGAAAGATTATAAATAGTAAAATATTATTTTAATAATTTTTAAATGATAATGAATAATAAGGGGGGTTATAAATAGTAAGAATGAGGCTCTAAATAGTAAGTTCCTTTTAATATTCCTAAGATATCTTTATGTGATACTAACATAAATGCTCTTCTAATCAGGGAATGGTTGGATGATGAATTTGAGAACTATATCCCTTTATGGTATGTGCGTAAATCGTTTCAGTGGGGAGTGAGTTTGGACAATCGAGAAAAATAAGAGATTGTGAAAATAAAAATATGATCGATAAATTGATGAGGTATAAATAATAAAATTATATTTTTATTATTTTTTATGGAGATTACCAATAGCAAAATGAGAGTTGTCAAGCTTCTTCTTTTATTTTCTCAAATATTTTTAATTAAATTTACCCTTTTACCCTTGTCACTATAGATGCTATATTATCTTTATAGTGCCGCCACATGGCAC